GTAGACTATGCAAAGCATGAACTTTATCACAGTTCAGTGTTTTCTTGTATCGTCTGCGCTCTCTTACGCACACGCTGCCTGCTTCTCTACGTGAATCGGCAACTGTCTGCCGCAGCGCCGCTAAAAATTGAAGCCCCTCCCTTCCAACACTGTGATATGGGCAGAATATCTTTTTTTTGGGTATCGATCGATTTTGGGTTTTGGTGAGCAGGTAAAAATGGCGGCTTCCCTACGTTTGATCCCCACTATAGTTTCAGACAAGGCACACCATCGTTGTGTAAAGCACAAGAAGAGAAGAGGGATCGTATTTGACCGGATCTTTGAACCCGCAAGAAATGCCTGATGGGGGGGGGTCATATCCAGCGAGAATTTCTCCCATCGTGGTGGTGTGCCCTGGTTCCAGGCATGGATTACGAGTGACCCGTGCAAAGAGTGTCTGAACGAAACCTCTGAACGAACACATCCGAGCTGTGACTTGCTTAGACATCAGACTATCACAAAACCTTCATCAGTCGCAATATTACCCAAATTTTTACTGCAAATTTTGTAATTTTGTAGTTTTTTTGCAGCAAATGATCGGCCAATCGTCCTCCATCAGGGACTCCTCTGGTCGACGGAGACCGTTGCAGCTTGTCTTGTCGCCCGTGGACGATGTTTGCACTCAGTGTATCGCTCTCGTGTATCGCTAACTCGTCTCGAGAGGTACTTCACTAATAATCCACACCCTTGTGTTCTCTCACCTTGTTCTCTCGTTTAGCGCATGTTTCCGATCGGTGGTAATCGAACCGATCGATAAATCGATTTCTGAGTATGGTATCGTTGGCTGTTGGAGTGATTTTACCGCTCACCTAATACTGAATTTCAAGAAAATGCATTGGAGGCCGGGGTTACCCTCTTTCACAACTCTAGTTTACGGAAACTGAGCCCGACTTTCATCAAACCGAACTAGCCCTTGCGCGGAGTTGAAAGGGGGGGGGGGGGAGAATGTATGCAGAAACAAATCGACTAGTTTTGTAAGGAATAGCAACCAACGTCATGTGACTTCGTGCCAAAAAGATAGGATACAGGGTACGAGAGATCGTCGTAGGGGGGCCGGAGGGAGCGGTGATTTGGTATAAAGGGTGAATCATGAGCTCTGTCTTCGAGAAACTTTTCCAGTGTTCGGTCTTCTCCCACTCTTTCCTCACCATCCCCTCACCCATGCTTCCCTATTCAACGGCAGCTTTGCTGCGCATTTGGGGAACGAACAGGGAAACTTCACACGGAACAGAGAAAAACAGCAAGAGTCTTAGCCATGTAAGGAAATTTTCGTTGATGTGTAAAACCGCCCTTTCACACATCACCATGCTGTGCCCTGATATGATAGTCGTGTTTAGGAGGGGAAACTGGTGGGCGAACTACCTCAGGCACCATTTTTTTTAGCCAGATAGCACCCACTGACACGCCTTTGACAAAATTCATAGCTGGATTTTGTGAGAATAAGGTCGTGACATAATTGTAATCTTTGCGAAAGCCTCCAAACCACTGTAGTCTTTTTCTTGTTTTGTTTATGTTGTTTGTTGTTTATTTCTTGGTCTGATCAGGAGATCATGAACAAGTAATGGAAACTCGAATCTGCTAAGTTCGTTACATTTGTGGTTCCTGGAGGCCAGTGGATACGATGGCTCGGGGCGGGTGGTTGTTGCCAACGTCACTGGTCTAAGGGTGAAGCGGAGTTTGGCCTAGCGCCACATAGTAGCCTCTACACCAATGGCACTGGCAACAACGGCCCGCTTTCAGCAATGGTTTCCACTTCTCTCATGAAAGCTTCTTCTCACGTCCAGAACAATACCATATAACCAATAAATCGATTCTACTCGACCATTTTAGCGGGTTCTTCTCGAATAGTGGATCTCATCACTTCTCCGGTCACCGTACATACTTAGCACAATGAACTTCTTGTCATCGGCGGTATCATCGATTAAACCCAGGTGAAGGTGCTCTTAACACCGTGTGTAGATATTGATTCCTTCCTTCGATCAATTCTCTGAACTATACTCCTTAACAACCGAATGACGGGGCATTTCAGTGCGAAATGGATTTTGTGCGGTGCCATCGTTTTCCAACAGCCGCTGTCATATGAGGCGAGCAATGATTGCTTCAAAATGAGCTGGCGCCACCCATAATCCGCGTCACGCTAACGCCCCCCTCCTTAGACTCGGTTTTTGAGGACTACAAGATCATCGATGTTCTGCTTGTTTGACAATGGATGATCTGCTTGTCGTTTAGACTTGACGATTACGGTACTGATCGTCTTAACTACTATTATACAACCATGGTGATTATGGTCTTATCAGTGACGATTACTGCCAAACAGTACGTCGGTTCACCGTTGCAGTGCTGGGTACCGGCTCAGGTAGGTCTTCTTTGTCAGTGATAGCCGCGTTCAGACTTCCCGATGACGCGCGCCGACGCGCTACGACAGGACACGCGTCATTGCGAAGTCTGAACGCAGCGTTAGCTATAGTCTTTTTCGCTGCAGATGCTGTGGCATGTAAGAGGCTGAGTTCGGAAAGGCAGCCCGTTTTCCACCACGTGTTCGAGAATAGTTTGGCGCCGCGTCAAACTCAGCCCCTCCCCTCGGACAGGCCCCTGCGTCAGCAGCTCAAATGACTGTGGCTAATGGGTCCCGCTGTTATTCTTTCCTTTCAAATCAGTTGAAACCTGAAGGTTGGCTTGTCGAAGGTGATTGCAACGTCAAACCACCCGGGGTGGGCTCTTGGAAAACGGTGCAAGTGCGGCTCCTCCGTTACAAGAATCCACGAGCCAGTACAAACTTCGTTGACTACCACTGGGTGCCCCCACCAAGCCAGACTTCGCCCAAAAAAAGCTTTTCTTCAGTTGAAAACATTCAGACATTAACAAATAACCATCAAATCTTATTTCAGTTCTCAAAAGCTTGGGAACAATATGCAGAAGACTATTGTTTCGTGTATAACACCTATTGGGTTCGGCCCGATGACGAAATTCCAACTTCAGTTGACACAAGGTCCGTTGACAGCCGCTTCGCGACCGCCCGCGACGATGATTCACAAATAACAGCTCTAATATTCAGAATCGCTCAGCAATTGCTTTACTATCAATGGGTTCCTTTCATAATGGCTCTGGAAGCCGCATTCTTCTATCTACCCGTGATATTTTGGAGTCACGTCAACAACAGATCTGGTCTGAATGTTGAAAATCTTGTTCGTATGGCTGTGGCAGCTGAAACGGCGGAGGTTGGCATATATTTGCTTTTTTTTTTTTGTAGGAGTCGCAATATCGATACTCTTCCAATCGTCCATTTTCATTTTGGTGATGTTCGCGGCAGGGCGTACCTCCAGAGTTTTCCATAAGATCGATTTTTTTCTAGGATTCCGGTCGTGAAAAGAAGGTGTCAACCATTTGTACTCATCTCGAGCACAGTGTTGAGCTTCAAATGTCTCTTGGTGAAGGGGCCACTTTTCTTACGCATCTCAGCAAATTTGGTCAACTAGACGGAACCTATGTGTGCAAGTTCGTTTCGGTTCTATTTGTTATTGATCAATTCATCAAATAATCGATTACCCCTCACGGTATCCCTTGTGCTTGTATGCCCGACAATGCACTTTTGCGCTCCACTCTTTCGACAGCTATAGCGCCGCGTTCACACTTACCATTAGCGATTGAGGAGGTTCGGCTAGTTGGGAGACTCGGCGACCCGGCGCCGATTAATACCAACCCGCTCCTTTTCTCCAGAACGGCCGGATCGCCCAATCTTTCAAAACGCCGGGTCACGCCGGACTTCCGAATCTCCGCAGTCGCTAGTGACCGGCGCCCACTGAACGATACCCGTCCGCTGGTCTACGGACGACTTGAACTCAATTCCTTTAGACGCGTCGAATTTCTGTTTTTCTCTGCTCTCTCTCGTCCGCATGGCACTCTATGGTTGTTGTGACTTCGCACATTCCAGCTTTTCACGACTATAAGTGGCTCACCCACCCCAGAGTCCCCTCCCCTTGAAAAAGCTCGTCTCCTTCTCGTCATAGTTTCCTGCACGTCTTGACGCTTTAGCAGGCGCTGTCATCTATCTGTCTGCATTTCTTGGTACGTAACAGGACCATGCACAAAAGTTCAAGATGTCACGTAACCGTCCGCTCCTTTGGCGCGCAATCGCCCGAAACGCGGATCCTCAATTTTCTCAAACTACAGATTCGATGCCTATGCTTTCCTCGTCGCCGAGTCTTCCAGTCGTAAAGTATGAACGTGGGTCATGTGCAAAGCTTATACCGGGCTAGCATTTCCGGGTTTTCGTGTACATAGCAAAACCGACTGTAACGATCATTCCTATCCCCATTGTCTTTTTCTTCGGACATGTTTCAAAGCGAATTCGAACTCTTTCAGTGTCTACTTGATCACGAAAATCATATATATGG